GTACTATATAACATTTTAGACACATTCTAGACAGTTTATCAGCTAAAAAAAGTTAATTTTGGGGTAAGATACTCTTTAAGATTGTAGGTCATTACAAATGTTGCAGGTTGATTAGAGGTCACATTTATCTGTCACTATTTTACTAATGAATATTTTTAGTGTTGACTAGTTTACATGTTTTTTTTTTTGTTTAGTATTTAAGCTGTGTGATTCAGTCATCAGTTGTTGTCTCTGAGTTTTAAAACCAGCTCGTTTCTCACCAACAAAGCAACAAACTGGTTTTATTCTGCTCTAATTGATTAGTCAAAATGATAACAGTTGGCAAATATGTGTTGCTAGCAAAAATGTTTGTTGAACTAGTTCAAGCAAAATGTCCCTGAATGAATGAATGAATGAATGAATGAATGAATGAATGAATGAATGAATGAATGAATGAATGAATGAATGTGTAAAACACTATTAGTTCTTTGCATTTTTACTCAAAAATATATGTTTTTCCTGAATAAAGCAGCCAACCTTTTTGAATTCATGATGCATGTTGACCTATATTAAACCTTATAAGTAGGTTAATGCACATGATGCACATGATGCACATGATGCACATGATGCACATGATGCACATTAGACTGACTCCAGGAGGTATTCAGCCTTATTTAGCCTGTAGCCTCAGTGTTCAAACTGCATCATCTGCTGGCTGTGTGCACGTGTCACTTCCTGTTACATCTAATAAAATGTTTAATGTTAGGAAGACAGATTCTCTGCAGGCAGCTTGTTCTTAATCCAACCAGGATTATATTTACATTTGCTTTTGTTGGTATTTCTGATAATATTCAGTTCATTTACTTTCTGCTCTTATTAAAAGAACATTAATTATTAATATATTGATTGTTAAGTTTTATTTATTGGAGAACTAACAGATTCTGCAGGAATGCTCACAGTTAAAGTTTACCAGATGTGGAGCTGTTGACACGTTTTGACCTGAATCCAACACTTTGTGTAATCTGGATGATTTATTCAGCGTTTGGCAAAGATAAACCCAAACCACTCATGTTCTTCATACAACATGTCAAATAACAAAGAACAGCAAATAAAAAAATCAAACAAAATGATTTGGAGTGCTTTAAATAAAGAACTTAGATTAAGTGCTCTTATTTGTTTTGTTTGTTTAGTATAACATAATTTTATTTGAGTTTAAAGACATGAATCAGATTTGTCTGTACAGAAAACATCCCTGTAGGGTTGTGATAATCAGCAACATAAACCCAGTGTGATCTCATTCTGTCTGCTTTCTAAACCCATTTCATGCTCCATAAAACCAGTTGGGTGGGCCTTAATGGGCCAGCAGACAGGACGGAGCAGGATCCATGTGCAGATCTACTGCACAGGAT